TTTCAACAGTACACGATGTTACATTTAAAGCTTCAACTTTTTGTGAATAATCCAACAACAATGGAAACAATGCAAGATCACTCTCGCTCATTTGGCTGAAAACCAAAAACGATGTCACATTGTGAGTTATAATAAAAGTTTCTTTTAATTGGATTGCCCTTTGTTCCCTCGAATTTTGTATTTCTGCCGCCAGAATTTTCGAGTTTTCATTTTTGAACAATTCCTTTTTACCGTCCACCTTTCTCCTTTGAAATTTGCAATAATTTAAAATGATTTGTTTTTCACATTCTATTTGTTGGTTGTTGACAATTTGCAAATTTATCATTATTTGTTGATTATTCCTTTTCCACTCATTAAATCTTGTTATTTCCATGTTCAACTCAGAAGAAATGTTTTGTTTTACTTTCTCATATTCTGGAAGAAAACAAGAATTTAACGCGATCATAAATTCGGGTTTGCGTACCTTTTCACCCAATTTCGTGAAGTCATCTAAACTGTTAATTGACAATTCGTTTTCCTTTGCAAACCCGTTTAACTTCAAATATTCTTCTTTGATTTTTCCTGTTGGATTTGAGAAGCGTACCGAAAGAGCCTGAACCAATCTGTTTACGATAGAGTAACACACTTGACGCACACCAGACCTTTCGGAAAGACTAACACGATTCAAGAATGGAAGTGAAAAAAGTGCATTATCTTCAGAATCATTAATTTGTGTTTTGAAATCGATGAGAAAAATGATGAGATCGATTATTCGTCTGTATGCGATAGAAAAGGAAAGGTTGCGCTTTTGAAGCCAGTCACTGACAACTTTGATTTTGGTGATTATATAATCAACAAAATACAAAATGGCAACAAAATTCTCATCTTCAAGCGTCGATGTGAAAGTGATTGTCTCGATCGATTTCAACTTTACATTTAACAATGATTCACTCAAGTTGGGAAGAACCTTTCCAAAGTATTTTTTTTAAAATTGACTCTTTTTCACTTCGGCTCAACTCGATTCGTTGTAAATTTGGCACTCTGGAGTTGAAATTCTTCATTTCAGAATAACAATCGAACAACATATTTGATATTGTTGCGATATAAAGGAATCTTGTATTAGAATAATGCGGGATGTTTAGAGCAATTTCTGTTGTCCCCCGTTGTAAACAAAACCGCTCCCAGAGTGTTCTAACGTTGTCGGTTGTTAATTTGTACAGATATTTCTTGATTATTGCAACCTCTACAATTTCGTTTATTTTTTCGACAGCTTTACTTAGCCTATGGCTAAAACAGTAATTGGATTGGAATAGATCTACCAGAAAACCTTTTGTACTGAGCCAATTTGTTATTTTACCAGAAAGTCCTCCTTCTTCACTGATCATTGTGCTTGCCCCGTCAAACGTGACAGAAGAGCATTTTTTGAAGTCAAATTCAAATTCCTCGCCAACAGAAACTATCCACTTTAACCAATTTTCGGATGATGGCTTCCCTATAAATTTTTCAATTTTCAGTTTAGACTCATTCACCTCGTTGTTTTCACTTACTGACCTTGAAAACAGACTGAAGTGCTCACTGGAGCCGTATTTTGCGCCATCAGCCATAAGACCCACATACTTTGCTTTTTGGAGAAACTCTTTAGTTTCGTCTTTCTTTACATCTGCGATCAACGATATTCGCCTTTTAATAGTGGATGCACTTAGAGAGAGTTTGAATGGTTTTATATTTATTTTTGTAGCATCAATAAAGAAATG